GGCACTAGACATTATGATTCACAATAAATAGTTTTGATACAGGCTCATTTGGCCCCCAGGGTTAGGATAACCATATTTCCCAAAGGGAAAATGGGACACTGCGCAGGGCTTGCCCAAGCCTCTCCCTCCACCCCAGCATGGGTCTGGCCCAAGCCACTCGCTCGAGTCCTGCCTGCCTTCTGCACAAGGCTATCGCTGGTCGCCTGCCTACCCCCTGCACAGGGCTGGCATGCTAGCTTGCTGCTATGCACCTTCCTCTGCACCACACCCCACATTTTTGACAAAAATGGGTATTTGTTCTATTTGCTCTTGCCAACTGATCAAGTCAGTTAGAGCAAACGTGACAAATGCCCACTTTTGCCAAAAAGTTGGGATGACTGGGACAGGGCTTTTAAAAGGGACTGGCCTGGCCAAAACGGGGACATATGGTCACCGTACCCAGGGTAGGATTTGAAACATACCTATGGGAGATCTGAATGGAGAAAGAATGAGAAGAGAAGTTAACCTCTCATAGCAGAGATATCGGTGTACGCATTGCCCTTCCTCATAAGCAGAATTATTTTTCAGAGTCAACATAATGATATACTGAAAATGTGAGAGCACCTGTTATAGGCCCCAGTTCAACAAAGTACCCACATACGTCCTTTTTAAGCTCAGCATGTGCTTTTCTGAAAAGTGATGGTTTGCTGAATTGGAGTCATTGTAAAGGCACATGGCTTTCCACACTATCATCCTAGTCAGGAGAGGAAGGCAGAAAGCTAAATACAATGAGATTCTTGTGATGTATTCAAAACTGTATTAAAAGTATGATCTATGACTTTAATTTCGCAGGGGTTTTCCTGGTCCTGCTTGCATGCAGGAGGCTCTGTATGGAAGCATGGGATCGGAGTCAGTGTGCAACCTGCCAACCTCAGCTACTGTTGGGAGAGTTGTGGCTCTCCGTTTTTTAGAGAGCAGCCTGCTTTCTCTGTCTCTGATTTGGTCCTTGTGTGTTGTCCTTTTCAGTTCTAAGTAATAAAGTCATGTTATGTGCAACCTTCCAGAAAAAAGTATTTTTGTTTTTATCTGGCTCCTGGTATATATGATGTGAACTTGACAGTTCTTCAAGTGAAGCAGTTCCATTTGAAATAATATGTGAAAGTTTTCAGTCCATTTCACTGCAAGGTGATGCAGAGAGGGGCTTTTGAGGGGAATCAGAGTTCTTATATGGGAGCTTTATGTTCTGCTGGTTGTGTAATTGTATTTTTTTGTAATTTATGGCAGAGATGCCAAGATCCAGTTTTATTTCTTTTTATTTTATTTTGGTCCCTTGAAATACATAACTACTTATGCTAAACAATCTGTTCCATTTTGTATTTATCTGTGACATTCAGTAAGTTTTCCAGATCTGACAAAGAGCTCTGTGTAAACTTGAAAGTATGTATCTCTCACCAAGAGAAGTTGATGATTCTTCACCCACATTGGCTCTCTAATTGTATTTGTTTATTTGTAATGTATGGCAAGGACACCCATATACTTGGCTAGACACATGTTTATTTTATTTTATGTTATTGGAAAAAATGGAAAACATAATCCCAACTATACATATACAATGGTGGGGTCTAAATTAGCTGTTACCACTCAAAGAAGAGATCTTGGAGTCATTGTGAATAGTTGTCTGAAAACATCCACTCAATGTGCAGCAGCAGTCAAAAAAGCTAATGGAATGTTGGGAATCATTAAGAAAGGGATAGATAATAAGACAGAAAATATCATGTTGCCTTTATATAAATCCGTGGTATGCCCACATCTTGAATATTGTCTACAGATGTGGTCGCCCCATCTCAAAAATGATATATTAGAATTGGAAAAGATTTAGAAAAGGGCGACAAAAATTATTAGAGACATGGAACAGCTTTGATATGAGGAGAGATTAATAAAACCGGAACTTGTCAGCTTGGAAAAGAGATGACTCCTGCCCTTTACTGACTGGCAGCTGTCTTGGGCCTCTGCTTCTCTCACCAGACACTGCATCATAGACTCCTCTTTCTGCCCCAGCCTCTGAGTTTTTTGCTGTGGGAAAACCCTAGTCCAGGGCTGCTCACTTGGCAAGATGAGCCTGATTATCCACCCTCCTTTTGTGCTACCATTCTGAGGCCATATCTACTCTACAGGGACTATAGTGGCATAGCTACGGTGCTGTAGCTTTGCCAGCATATCCCCGAGATGCAGCCTACACTGACTGAAGGGGTATTTCTGTCACTGTCAGAGCACCACCCCGCTGAGCAATGGTAGCTAGGTCAACAGAAGCATTCTTCCATTCATCTAGCTACGTCTACACTGAGGGTTAGGTTGCCATAGCTATGGCACTTAGGGGTGTGGAATTAGCTGTGACACTGAGTAAATTTCCTAGAACTGAAGAAGAGCTCTGGGTAAAATCAAAAGCTTGTCTTTTTCTCTCTGGATTTTTCACATCCCGGAGCACAGCTGCCATATCAACCTAAATTTTAAATGTAGGCCAAGCCAGAGACACAAGGTCTTGTCTACATAGAGACACTCAGGAAACATAATCTGACTGAATTTTTAAAGTGGATTAGTTAACTCACATTAAA